GAAGATCAGGAACTACAAGTTAGCTGTTTGGAACCCTGCGGTGTACCGACTCCTAAGGTTTATTGGAGAGATCCCAAGGGTCATATTATAAGTGACGCGGGTCCCATTCGCGTTCAGGACAATACGCTCATTATTGGGAAAGCTCAAATAAACGAGGACGATGGAAATTATACTTGCGTTGCTGAGAATCTTGCCGGTGAGACTGACATGTCCGTTCAAGTGGTAATATCAAGTGAGTATCAAACATTGATCGTGCATTAATCCTAATCATTCTTATTAATATCCATCAATTTAACGAGCAAAGATGTTGAATATTTATTATACGAATATAATCATTTATAAATATATAATAAAATTAATAGAAAATAATATTTAATTCTGTATTAGCACCACCAACATTGATCAATTCGCCAGAATCATTAAGCGTGATGGAAAGTGAGCCCGTTACAATGACTTGTTCTTATTCCGGTATGGAATCACCTGTTACACACGTTCGATGGTTCAAAGATGGCGAACCTTTGAAAGAAACTGGCGGACCAACTAGACATCGTGTTACCGATCATCACGGTAACGTTACTTTACATTTCAAAAGTGTTGACTTATCGGACAAAGGTATATACGTTTGCGAGATAGAAACTAAGGGTTTCCTACCCATATTCTCCGATCCGGCTACGTTAACGATCGAAGAGAAATTGAAATTTTCACCGCCTCCTGTCAACAAACGTTTAGAACTTGGATCAACTGCTAAAGTTTCTTGCAAGGCTCAGGGTGCCACGAATCCAATGGTAAAATGGATCAAAGAAGGTGACGGTGAAGATTTTCCTAAACACGTTCAAGATATCAATGGGACACTTCATTTCAATGGTGTTTTAGAAGAGGACAAAGGTCGTTACACTTGCATAGCTAGTAATATGCAAGGATCAATAAATCATACGATTAACATCGACGTAGTGAGTGAGTAGTGGATCCTTTTAGTTAAGATAGGTTTTATAATTTCTTTCTTTCTCTCTCTTTTTTTTTTTTTTTTTTTTCCATAAAATCAATTTCCAATCGAACATTTATTACGTCAATCTTTATCTTTCATTTAGATAATAAACTGTTAATAATTTCGATCGATCGATCGATCATTATAAATTTATTATCCATTAAAACACTTAACGTAAATTTAAAATTCATTTCTTCGTTTAAAACATTTCTCACGTCCAATAATCGTTTACAGTTGCACCAAAGTTCACGATACAACCACAAAATCCTACCGAAGCTATTGAAGGTTACCCGGTGATGTTGCATTGTGCTGCCGAAGGCGATCCTAAACCTACCATTCAATGGGATAAAGACTCCCGTATGAATAATTTGGAAAATCCACGTTTCGAGGTACTTTCTAATGGAAGTCTTTACATCAAGGAGGTATATCTCGGTGATGAAGGAAAGTATGGTTGCACGGCTGGTAATAGTGGAGGTTTAAAGAGAGAGGAAGTTCAGTTAAATGTGAAAGGTATAATTTTCTTTTCTTTTCTTTCTTTCTTTTTCTTTTTGTTTTCTTCTCTTCCTTCCGCATCAACTGATGCATTTCCTTTTCTGTTTCGCGTTCTTAGCCGGTGACAGCTATAGGTCGGATTTGGATTTGGAAGTTGGTGACGATGGTTCGATGATGACAAAGACGGTCACTATTACTCTCAGTGCTGCTGCTGCTTATATGGTTCTGGTCGTTGGTCTTATGTTGTACTGTCGTTATCGACGTCGTAGGAGGAAGCAACAGTATCTTCAAGAACAAGCTGAGGGTTGGTATTTCAACGTAAAAAAAATTAAAATGAAACAAATGCAAGAAAATAAAAACATCACAAATTAAAAATAAATTCGAAATATATATCTTTCTATGAAAAATAAACAATAATTATGTCGATTCTTATTTTTATTTCAACATTTTATGATATATAGAAAAATTAGAGAACGGCGAAGTACAGGAAGAACAAACGGAATTGAAGGAGACCAGTCACAAAACTAATTCAACGAGTAAAAAGAAGGAAAATCGTGATTCTCAAAACAAGAGCGACGGGGCTGACACAGCACAAAGTCAAAGTAGCAATCAATCGAAGAGATCGAAGTCGAATTACGATAAGATAGCGGTATCGCGTACGAATTTGAAGGAACTTAAACCATTGGGTAGAGGCGAGTTCGGTGAGATTTATGCTACGAAGTATCAATTGGACGGTGATAAGGAAAGTTTGGTTATGGTTAAAAGTTTGACCAATACGAAGGACGAGATTGCATTGCAGGAGTTCAAACGTCACTTGGATCTCTTGCATAAACTCAGTCACGAGAATGTTGTCAAGTTGATTGGACTATGTCGCGAGGAGGAACCGGATTATATGATTTTGGAATATACCGATTGGGGAGATCTCAAACAGTTCTTGATTGCGTCAAGAAAGGACAACAATAGTAGTCCATCGCATGAGTCTAAACCACCACGTGCCCCTCAACTCTCTGTGGCACAGATATTGTCCTTATCAAATCAGGCCGCGAGAGGTTTGAAACATTTAGCTGACAGTCGATTGGTCCATAAGGATATAGCAGCACGTAATTGTCTGATCGCAAGTAATCTAACCATCAAGATATCTCTACCTTGCATGAGTAAGGAACCGTATCATCAAGAATACACGAAACATCGGAACCAAGTGATACCTCTAAGATGGCTACCTTATGAAGCTGTCTATGAGGACGAATATTCTACCAAGAGTGACGTATATTCTTTCTCCTGCCTTGTATGGGAAATGTTTCATCAGGGTGAATTACCCTTTAACAAAATGAACGACGAATCCGTTCTTGCTCAATTAAAGTCATTGACGTTAACGTGGAAACCGCATAAAGCGGCACCGCCAACCTTGCAGGAACTTCAGATACAGTGTTGGGCGAACGATCCCAGAGAGAGGCCAACCTTCGACGAGGTTGTCTCGAAAATAGGTGAAATCGTCGTCGATAGTTGTCTCTAATTTATTCGTCGTTGTCGTCGTAAAATAAAAAAAAAAAAAAAAGAAAGAAAGAAAGGAAGATAGAAAAGGAAAAGGAAAGGAAAGGAAAAGAAAAGAAAAAAAAAAGAAGAAAAAGACGAAAAAAACGAACCTCCAAATTTACTGAATATTGCGATAGGGATAATAATTGTGTAAGGTTGTTTTAACCGCAAACGACGTTTAATTGCGAAACGTTAGTTAAGCTTGCTTCGATGTGAAAACCGGAAATAATTTGAAAAACGAAACCAAACCAAATCGTCCAAGATTGCAAGATATTAAGTGCGTTCTCTTTCTCATCGAGTGTGTATATAACCGTATGTTTATATCGTCGTTTTGATAAAAATGAATGAAAGAAAGAAAAAAAAAAGCAAAAAGAAGAATTAAACTTTATTTTGCATGAAAGGCATAAAAGGATATTCATAGAATAATTAAGCTCGAAACTTTTAATATAAATCTTTCAATTACTGGTTTCACATCGTTGATCTTGCTATAATCGTCGTATCGATAATTAAAAATGGTCGATATTATTGGCTTTTGTCGCATAAAAAGAAAAAAAAAAATTATGACTGGTCGTTAATAACTAATTAAAAGGCCTCGCCGCGCATCGCTTGGTATCATCGATTATATATCTACGAATTTTGATATATATATATATATATCAAAATATACATACATATATATATATATATATATATATATATATATATATATATATATGTATATATAGAATCATCAGGCCTTTGTGTAAAATGAAAAGAAACGCTTATTATTCGTTAATTTAATCGTCTTTGTCAAAATTTATTATCATATTAAGCGATACGTCCACTATGATACGAAGAAAAAAAGGAAACCATCACTTTTGAGTATTTTTCTCGATATACAGGGTGTCTGAAAGAAAAAGAAAGAAAGGAAAAAAAAAAATACTTGGTCAGGTTCTAATCCTATTTCGTAATAAAAATTATTATATCAGAGTAGATTTTATTGTTTGATAAACTTTAACAAGCGAAATATCGCGATAACTATCAATGATAATATGGCCTATTATTGATAATAACATTTTTTTTTTTTTTTATTGAGAATTATCTTTAGAATGTAACGAATTATTCTATTTTCTTCTCGGACATTCTGTATACATTGTAGTAACATATTTTAGATATTTCGAGTGTAACGTATGAAAGGAAAGAAAAGAAAAGAAAAGAAAAGAAAGAAAAAGAACAAAGAAAAAGAAAGAAAAGAAAGAAACAGACAAACAAAAACAAAGAAAATCCATTGGATTGTCGTTTGTTATCAACGTCGAATTATTTCACATATGGTGATGCATTTTCAATCATCGAAATCACATAAACGAGGCGTCAATGTTTTGCGTTTATTGCAGAACGTCGCTCATTAACTTCGCAATCATTATTCGTATTACGGTGTTTTTGTCGCGTCCATTAGATAAGGGTAATAATATTTATTTCCAATTAGGATGTCCGCTCCAATGAATGCTACCGTGTCCAGGTTAAGTAATATTAATATTAATATTATTAATAATAGTAAAATATAATATAATAATAATAATAATAATAATAATAATAATAATAATAATAATAATAATAATAATAATAATAACGATAATCATGCATACGAATCCAATACACGTAAACGATATTATATACTTAAATGCAATACTTAGTATTCAATATCAATATGTAATAATAATAATAATACTAATAATAATAATAATAATAATAATAATAATAATAATAATAATAATAATAATAATAATAATAATAATAATAGTAATAATAGGTATGGCCACTACATCGAATACTCTTAAGGATAAGTAACTCGATAGGAAAATCGAAGAAAAGTAACGACACGAACGTTTTCGATCGATCGAAATCATGTTTGAAGAGAAAGAACGTGACGGTAATTAAAAAAAAGTATCGTTATTATTATAACGACGAACGCGATCTTGTATTCGCATTAAATTCTTTTTCTTTTTTTTTTTATTTTTTATTTCTCTCTTTTTTTTTTTCTTTTGTTTTTTTTTTTTTTGTTTTTTTCTTTTATTTCTCAACATTTCTCATCATTCGTACGTCGTTGTTGTTAAAAAAAAAAAAAAAAAGAAAAAACAAAGAGAAGGAACAATAACAAAAAAAAAATGAAAGACGGACTTGTATATACCGGCTGTGTAAGATGAACTTTTTTTTAACGTTTAACGTTTTTTTACAAACTTTTTTTTTTTTTTTTTTTTTTTTTTTTTTTTTTTTTTTTTCCCTTATTGAACTGTAATAAAATTTTACTATTTTTGCATTGTACGCGAGTGTTAGTTTATAAGAATCTAATGATGACTTTCTACATTTTTTTCTTTTTTTTAATTCGATGTAATTTTTACGTATATATAAATATATATATATATATTTTTTTCTCTCCTTTTCTTCGTATTTAAACTTTTATTTTTATTTTGTAATATTTGTAGATAGACTTAAAATGATTTTAGAGCGCGATCTTAGCCGTGCGATCTTTAGCCGTTAAAGTAGAAAGAACGAGAAATAACGAAAAGGAAAAAGAAAGAAAAATAAATAATAACAAAACAGAAAGAAAACATTTCGAAACGTATTATCGTACAACGAAATAATTATGTTCTTTTTTTTTTTTTTTCTTTGCGTGCGCGCGAGAGAGAGAGAGAGAAAGAAAGAGAGAAATGATTAGAATTTTTGTTTTTAAAATACAACGATCGGAGAACAAAATATTATAAATATTATAATATACTTAATTTAATCTATCGGCGATATTATGTAAATTTAAATGACTATTTTATGTTTCTGTAAAGTCAGACAGATAGGGTATAACAGCAAGCAGAAACATTTCTCGTTGAAAGCCATAAACTGTGAAATTATTTAATGGTAATTGATGATATAGTAATCACAGTGCGTACGTATCATTATCCCTAAATATTCTAATTATACTTACTATCCGAGTACTTACTTATGCGAATTATGATCGATTATAAAAAAAAAGGAAAAAAAAAAACGAAACAACAACCAAAAAAGAAAAGAAGAAGAAGAACAAAAAATATCGAACAACGTACTACATTGTATTTTATACAAAGTGAGAGTGATAGAGATAGAATGTATTTAAACGATTTTTAAGCTTTTACGATAACTATAAAGATACATGTCGCACAGCAAATATTTATATTTCTTTCGATCGATCGATGATTTTATATGTTATCTTTTTATACAAAATTATTGAAAAAGAAAAGTAATAAAACAAAGAGAAAAAAAGAATAGCATGCGATTTGCATAATATATTCGGATAGCTAACTGTTCATGATATTAACCCTAGTTAAGCACACCACAAAATAATTTCGAATTGTGTACTACAGTTGGGGTGTACTACACTCCAGGGATTTTGAACAGCTGTCATTTATACAGAATGAATAATTTTTATTTCAAAAAAATAGTGTATATTCTTTCAAGCTTCGGAAGTAATAATCAGCAGATTTGAAAACGCATTTTCAATTCTGTTATTATAAACAAAATTCGTGAATCATGCACTGTGCAAATTATTTTAATTAAGTTTAAACTTAGTTTGGGGTGTTTCTACATTCCACAGGCACAACTAGGGTTAAACCACTCTGATTGATTTACTTGAATTTCGAATAATATAATTGTAACAATCGACAAAATAGTATTATGCTAGTGGATTTGGATAAATTTTATAAGAAATATCCTTCCAGCGCTTATGTCATTTTCATCAATCGTACGACTCTGTATACGCATAAACGCATAATGTATTATACATACATACGTACGTTCATACATACATACATAAATACATACATACATACTATTCTACCGCATATAGGCATACGAATTATCAAGGTTAAACACTGCCAATCTTATCTAAATGCGATATTAAAGTGTCATAATCATGTAACGATAAGTATTAGCATTCGCGAAATTTGTAGGGGAAAAAAATGAAAACGAAGAAGGAAGGAAAGGTGAAAAGAAAAAAAGAACAAGAAAAAAAGAACGAAATCCTTCCTTAAACTCGCTTCCTTTATTAATTAATTAATACTTCGCGAGAAGTGATCGTGAGAAACATTTTTATATAAATTATCCAATTATACTTTCAATATAATTCAAATAATTGATTAACAATGAAAACGAGGAAAATAAAAAATCGTATCGGAAACGTTTTATTTTCCACTTCGTGGAAAGAAAGAAAGAAAAAAGAAACAAAACCGAAGAAATTTTGGAGATCGTTCAGTCGACAATTTCTGAGATGCTTCCTAGATGTTTTTTAACAAAAAAAAAAAAAAAAAAAAAAAAAAACAAAAACGATAATTAAACGCTAAGAAGTATTCTTGTATGTATTATAAGTGCGTGTTAGGAACATACCTTGCAACGATCTCGTACAGACTCCTCTTTTAAACCCCAAACCCAAACTCAACCCTCCAAACCTCGCCCCCGTATATTTCAAGGTCGTGTGGAATAAAAAGAAGAAGAAGAAAAAAGCCGTACGTTCATATCATTTTTTAGAAGCTGTTTTATCGAGAAATATCGTCGCGTCGTCTTAGCGAGATATATAAAAAGCGACCTATCTATGCCTAACACCCTAATGTATCTAGTCATGTACGTTTCGAGACGTGGCGAGTAAAAAAGAAAATAAAAAAAAAAACGAAAAAAGAGAAAAGAAAAAGAAAAAATAAGTAAAATGCAAAAAGAAAGAAAAAAAAAAGAAGAGAAGAACCGCAGCGAATTCGCGATTTATATACACGAACCTTTCATATCCTTAGGGCGCTCGAAATCGATTTCTTTTTTACAGTATTTTGTAAATATTTGTACTTTTTTATCTACATACGTCGTACTCTCATGAATTTTTGGAATAATATGTGCTACGATTAAATAAAATAAAAAGAAGGAGAAACGAAATTGTATATACATCTATGTCCCCTACCCTTTTCGTTGTTTCGTTTTTAGATTTTGTTTTATTTATTTCTTTTTTTTTCGTTTTCATCTCGCATGTTTTTCGTAAGATCATTTAAAAGAAAAAAGAAAAAAAATTTTAATATTTAAATATTAAAAAAAAAATATTTAATTCAATAAAAATATTTAATACTAAATATTTAATAATATATATATATATTAAATAGTATTAAATAAAAAATATGTATTATATCTAGGATTGAATCAATGTGGGATAAGAAACGAAGGTGATAAAAAGAAGAGGTTGATATATTACCTAATCAAATTTATTTTTACTTAATATTTCATGGTACAGTCTATACCTATTACGATATATAAAATAAGTAGTCGTTCGAATGTAAAAATCGGTTAAAAGTAAAATAGGTAAGAGTAACAAGAAAAAAAATAAGAAATAAAGAATGTATATATATATATATATATAATAATAATTAAAAAAAGGGGGAAAAACGCAGAC